AATTTTTTTTATAATACATTTTTTTTTTTTTAAATGTACTAAATCCATGTGTTGCTTCACCTTATTCTAATGAAGTTAATTGAATAATCAGCAAAAAAAAAAAAAGAAAAAAATGGGAAAGAGCTCCAAAAAGGTAGTTCATATGATTAGTGTAATATTTTTCCTCACTGTACCTGATCTTTTTATGAGAAAGGAAGCTCAACATTCAGGTTTGGATCAACATGAGGGGAGTAAATTATAACAATTATGATTTTGGGCTGGAATTAGTCTCATATTTGATATTTGATTATTTTCGTTGTTTATTACTGTGAAGCTGCTTTGAAACAGTCTGTGTTGTGTAAAGCGCTATTCTAGAGGTGACTTGACTTGACATTAAAAAAATGCATTGTAATCAACAAAGATTAAAAGGAAAGTGAGTGAAATTACAGTCACGGGACTGTTTCTGATTGGTTGCGTGGATGCTGTAATTCATTTTCAAATCATTCAGTCGTCACAGATAAACACCTTACATTCACCCGACAACAGTCACGGCTTTTGCCAAATCAGTGCATATTGAATTTGAAATAAGTGAACATGTTGTCAAAGTTGGTATAGTGGCTTTACATATTTTCGTCAACTTACAGGTCACAAAGTTATATATGGGCACTCAGTTTTGAGTCTGTGGGTCCAATAGAGTGAGCAATAGCATTCATTTACGGTGAAATATTATTCGTCAGAGGCTGATTTAGTAAGGATCTTCATCATGATTCAGTGGGTTGGTCTCTTCTGTGAAGTCGAGTTGATATTTTCTGCCGGAGTCTTGTATCAGACTGAAAACATTAGTGAGCGATCAGAGGTCAAACGTTATCCTCCTGTGACGGGCAATTTGTCTAAAGAGTGAAATTTGTCAAAGTCCAGGCCCCATGAGGACAAACACGAAACACACACAGCTGGAGAAAAACAACACAACTCTATCACTTTTGTTTTCGTTTTCATCTTTTTAGTTCATTCTTTGCAAGTCAGGTCAGTGAGCTTCTGATGGTAAATATCGGACAGATAAATAAAGCTCTTGAAATGCCATCAGTATTTTACACATGGGAGTAAAATATAAGATAAAACAGACAGTGAATCTCTTATATACTCTGTTAAAGATTTAAGAAGAAAATGTTCTTGCATTTCTTTTTACAGAAGAAAATTTCAGGATCGGTAAAAAGAATAAGAAAAAATACAGCAGAATTTATTATAAATGTGGTTTACCTTGTAATGCACCTTGTATGATCTCATGAATTTAAACCATAATTATAATACCTTTCTATTAATTGTATAATGCATTAAACATGACAAACAAACCTTTAAATATTATAATGCATTTTAACTTTGCTAACTATTATTTATGAAAAGATATAATGCTTTACAGCATACATTATGTTTATTTTTATAATGCATTATACATAAAGGCTTTAAGTGTTACGAAAATACCAAATATGCATTCAAACATTTTCATAACCTTTTATATAATATAAAAGGAACACGGACTTTTAACAGAAATACAATCAATTGAATACTTGTATTAAAAACTTAGAGCTAAGATGACTCGAGACTGCTAAACCTCAAATCTTTGCATATGTAATGTGGATATATATAAAAATGTATTTTACCCTAAAAATAGATCTGGGCATTTATCATTATCATTAGAAATGTTTGCAGATGATCCAGGCCTCTGATCCTGATAAAATCACTACAATCAAACATTATTTTGAGCTCGCATATCATTATTTTTTTTAAATGCTGGGGTTTGAGTTTTTCTAGAGTCTTTTATTTTGACAGGTTCTTCTTTCATCCTCTTCCTGATTGTGTTAGTTAGTGTGAATAAACCAAAGGCCTCACTGGTTTGGCTGGTTAGTTGTGTCAGGTAGTACCTAGTTTATGAATCTACAGGCCAAAACATATTCCTCCTCTGCAGTCCATTCAAATGTATCCATGTCTAATATCACTCAGCATCATCATGATACTATCATTAATCCTAATGGACAGAGACTCCAAATATTATATTGGAGTATATTTGTGTTTGCCAGTGTCCCTCATTGAGTCGTTTTGGTGAGTGTTCATTGCTTCTTGTTGATCCCTGTCATGCTTTTGTGCTTCTTTGTTGCAATTTTACTCTTAATGTTACACTTGGCAGTTGCAGTCTGATTTAGTAAATATTCAAGTTGACTTTGCTTCTATATATTTTTTTGCACTGGATATAGGCAAGGCAAGGCAAGGCAAGTTTATTTATATAGCACATTTCATACACAATGGTAATTCAAAGTGCTTTACATAAAAGAAAAGAAAAAAATAATCACAACAATAAAACAAGGAATTTAAAAACTTTGAAAATGATTTAAAAAATTGATTTAAGAGGTTTAAAATGAATTTAAGAAAACGATTATACATAAAATATAGTGCAATCAGTTCGGACATTGCACAGTGCTCATTCAATAAATGCACAGCTAAACAGGTGAGTTTTGAGTCTGCATTTAAATGTGACTAATGTTTTAGCACATCTGATCTCTTCTGGAA